ACCAAATGCATCTTGAAAGGCTTTTTGTAGGGTTCTGCTGAATAAGCACACTTCTGAACAATCATTTTTCTGCAGCATGTCCTGGTTTTGCCAGGTGCTGATTACCCTCCTACTAACCACAAGTGATATGTCCACATTACAGATGGGAGTAGACAGTAAGGATACTGCATTTACCTTGAAATTAATTAAATAATGCACTTAAGGAAGCCCAGCAGCAAAGTCTGATTAATTCTGGAAACTTATGGGGGTATTCAGACAATAATAGGCAGAAATGCTCTGCTAAATAGAGACGAGCATCAGAGACAACCTCACTTTGGAATTACAGTCTCGTGCAAAGACAGTGAGAATTTGCATTTAATGTGATTATTAAAATCCATTTGTAAAGGATAGAGTCTAGTCCACCTATACAGATTCTCCAAAAATGAGATGACCTTGCAAATATAACAAAAAGCAACCTTCCAGGAATGAAATGAAATGTTTTTATGGACATCTCTTTCCAGTACAAGACCTAAAAGAAAGAACAAGCTAATCTGTGCCACCTATTTGGAAAGAGACAACTCCCCACAGCTCATCAGTCGTTTGAACTAAACATGTGCAGAGGAAGTTTTGATAGTCATTACTAAAAATAAACTCCAGTATGTGAGGCTTATTTTGTAGTCTTCCATAACATCTTTCCTGCACTATTTTTCTGGGAATTTTATGAGCTAATATTTGAAGAGCTTTTGTCAAACTCTTAAGGAAATGAAGCCACAGGTAGAAATTTCACAACCTTCTAAAACTGAGACTTCAAGTGTGGCTTATGCTCACTTTCTTTATTAGTGAAAATTGAAAATAAGTAATTTTTTTCTTCATCTAACTTAAATTGAAATATGGCTCTCATATTCTAAAACAAAAATAGCCTCACTCAAGTATCAATTACTAAGTATCTCATCACTGAAGGCAAGGGAATCCATGTCACCAAAGAAGTGGTTTAGGTTTTGTTTGTTTTGCATGCACATGAGGTCAAAAATACCTTTGATAAGGCTTCCCATAGGCACCCTCTGTTCCCTGAAATTAAAAACCATCAATTCAGGAGTCCAGCTGTCAGCATAAGGCACATAAAATCAGCAGACCAGTTTTGCTGCCCCCTCTCAGCCTTCATACCCTGATAGACTGTCTGGGTCTCACAGCCCTTCACCTCAGCTGAGTTTCTGCTAGATCTCTCAGTTCTGTCTTTTACAGTCTAGCTTGTACTCTGCCTTCATCACTCTGCCTCTATTTACAAGACCCCAGGTACATCTTCAGACCTTAAGAAGAAAATTAAATTCATTTGCAGAGGTTACCCTCAGACCTTCTCGAGTGAGTGAGTGAGTGAGTGAGTGAGTGAGTTGTGTTGGTGCAAGTGGGTCATGAAATGCCTGTGGGTGGCTGATAAGGAGCTGGTCTGCCCATAGGAGTCTGAAGGAAAAATGATTCCCACTCACCTTTTGAGTTGGTTTGGGATTTTTTTACTATTTATAATTTGCTTGAGTTTAAAAATAAGCCTGTTCCCATTGCTCCTTAGAGTCTGACTCAGTACCAACACCATTGACAGAGAGGGCCATACTTAGAGGTACTTGTCATCTTTGGGAGGAAAATCACTGGGCAGAACCAGAAGTGCCAGTGCTAGCCAGGAGGTGGCGGAGGAGTCAGACTACTTGTGTACCGGTTTCTGCATTGTTTTGGCAAAAAGACAAAGAGAAACTGAGGAAAGACAACAAAACCCAGTCCTACCCTCCATCTTCGGGAATAAGAGGATGAAACCCTTAATCACATTCCTGCTTGTATTTATACTAATTGCTCATCTTCCTGAGATCTGACTTTATGAAATTATGCATGCACACCAAATAGATGAGTTTCCATAGAAACTCAGGAGCTGAACTTTCATTAGAAAAATCTTTTTTTAAAAAAATCTTCCAGATAAAAATGCAAATTTCCCTTCAGTGGGTAGCTTTCTGAATTTAGATAATTTTTTTTTCTTTTGCACTGTAGGCAGATTCCAACTGGACCTACATAGCAACAACATGCAAGCATTGTTTATAGCAAGCCAGACTCCATGGGGAAATTAGAAATTCAGTAGCAAGGAGAAGCTCTCAAGAGCAAATACCGCAGAGAAGCAAAAACTCAAGTGCTCGATGCTGCGCCTTCCTGAGGCTTGAGGTTTGTGCAGCCTCCAGCTCTCAAAATGTTTGTGGTTTGCAAGGAGTGGTGTGGGGAGGAGAGGAGAGAGAAAATACAAAACCAGAAACTCTCCTGCACACAGAATTAATGATGTTCAACCTGTTCTTTAAACGTCAGCAGCATATTTGTGCTGCTTCAGTTAAGCCTCACAAAAAGACTGACACCATCTGTCACAGCTCACTCTGGGCAAAGGAGTAGGTCTCTGTGCTGGGGCTGGGGAGTGTTGGCAGACCTGGGTTGGCCAAACCCCAGCCTACACTTGGGCTGAGGCTTAGAGCCCAGTGTCATGTGCCCACACTGCATGGAAGTCCAGGCATGTGTGCAGGAAGGGGGCAGGAGGCTTTTCCTTACCAGAAGGGGGAAGCAGGATGGTGACATGCCTGGGAAGGGCCATGGACCTGGGCAGCATTTGGCACCAACAGTTGTGCATGTAAGCAAGGAGGAGGTGAAAATCCCAAACTCCTTTAGCAAATGTTTCCTCCAAAAACACAGCAGTTTTTCACTTGTACATTGTATTGCAGCATCAACAGGAGCCCTTCCCCTGGCTTTGGGGAGTCTGGAATAACTCTCTCTGAGGGTTCACAGATGTTTTCTCAGCTAAACTGGCAAGCTTGAAAGCACTGACTACTAAAGAAGAAACATTCATGTGAGCTGCATTTCCTGGTGGGCATCTGCCACTGCTGGGCACTGCAGCTGGGCATGCAGAACACAGTGCTCCTCCTGGGCCTCGAGCACAGGCACAGCAAACACTGGGGAGCCATGGCAGGGAAGCCACACCAGGCTCTGGGTCTTGACCAGCAAGGGTGCTGGGGCATGCAGGGGAGCTGTGCTGCCCAAGCAGTTTACGATGAGGTGGATTTCTCTGCAGCATTGTCGAGAGGCGCAAAATGTCAGCCAGGCAGGGAATTCCTCTCCTCGTTGGAGAGGGATGACAGACAGCAGCTGCACGGGCTCACTGGCCCCTGTGCCTCCAGGGCCAACAGCCCTCTGAGAGCATTGAGAGGCTCGATGCTGCATAGTGTCAGGGTGAGGACAGCATTGGGTCCCGGATCACCAGAGAGCACAACTGAGTCTACTTGATCAGCACAGGAGGAAGAGATTTTAGGAACAGTGGGTTTGTGGTCAAGGGCAAACTTGAGCTGAGATAGCTCCCGTCTGTTGTTGGCTCAGCAACAGATTTGCTATGGCCACACTACTTGCCCTTTCTATGCTGCATTATCCCTGTCAAGAAAGTGACACAAATTATAATTGCACAAATACCTTCCAGTCTGTCATTATGTGCCTGCAGCCATCTCCAGGCAGCCACCTCCAGGGGAACCAGCCTCTCCCACGAGGGAACCTCTGTTCCACCCCCACTGCATCTCTAAAGGATCAGATTTGATACTGAGTTGATTATTCAGGTCAAGGGTGTGGGCAAGAAAGAGTTAGTGAAGCTTTTCATAGCATCACCAATATTTGATTAAATGGGTGTTTCTTATTTTTTCTCTCAGGCAACTTAATGTGTTTCTGTAGGTACTATCACTGGCCTTAAGGATGCTGATGTACCCTGTGTTCAATGGTATTTTTGTAAAACCAGACAAAACAAAACAGAGGAAAAATCTTCACTATTTCTAAAAGCATCACCATTCGTTCATCAGAAATTTACTTGGGTTCTAGTTGTGAGAGATTTCAGGTTTCTTACGTCTTTTTCATATGCACTAAAGGCAGTTAGACAGATTAAAGATTAAGCTAATGCTTTTCTTTACATACATGCATCCACCTACTACATTGTCCCAGGAAAAGCAGGCAGTCATCTCATTTGTCAGCATTTCCATGGGTCAATATGGGCAGAAGCCATGCAGAGTTTGGCAGGTGCTGGTTGCTTCTTCCAGAGGCCACACCTGGATGAAGCTGGTGGAAGGTTCATCCTGGTGTGTGCACCTTCAGGAGGAAGCAGAGAAATGCCATGGATATGTTGTGGCCTGCAAAGCCCCTATCTGGGGCAAAGACCATCTGGGCTCGGTGTGATTGACGGCTGTGCAATTAACAGGGATCCTGGCTCATTAGTGCTTTGTGGATTCAGACACATCCATGAGAGCCCTATAGAAAAACATGTTCTTCCTAACACTTCTTTTATCCTCCCCCTCCTGTTCCTTCCAGATGGTTACACCCACTTGTGTCTTTTCTTACCCTAAGGACAACTTTTTAAACAAGGTTCCTGCATCCTTCTACTCCCCCACACTGCTGTAGGATATAAATTGAAGTGCAAGAGGACAGAGCTGTTACATCCCATGCTATTACATACAGCCTGCCTGTAGAAGGCTGGGAAGGAGAACACATCCCTCTGCCTCCTGTTTGATGAGAAGAAAGATCTCAGTGTGGTCAGGATGTGGGAGATGAGAGACTTTACCTCAGCCTCAGCTGGGTGTTGCAGTTGTGCAGGAATGAATTCTGGCTGTAGTCAAACCTGTGTATATTTTCTGGGTAAGGAGAGAGGGATGCTTAAAGGGCCTGTAACCTTTCTTCCGTATAATACCAGTAAACACTCTCCCAGTAGCACGCAGCAGGAGCACTTGCAGAGCTGCATCTGAATCTGCTTTAAAAAAAAAAACTATTTTCACCATTACTTTTTACATTGTGCATCGCTATCAAAAAACACAGAACTTAACAACTGATCACTTCTATTCTTCAGAAATAGGTGGAGATGCTCTATCCATAGGATTCCTGTGCCTGCAGTCAGCAGCTTGGTGGGAGCTTGGGGTACTTAATTTCTTCCTCTCTTCTCTGCTGTTGTTAACTGCTCATCATTTGTTTGTTGACAGGGCCTGGTGCTGAGCAGACTTGGGCGGAGGGAACTGGCCCAGAAAGTCCTCAGAGATGCCGTCCGGATCCAGACCACCAGTCACATTGCCTGGAACAGCCTTGGAGAGGTCTTGCAAGCTCAGGGGAAAAATGAAGCAGCCATTGAATGTTTCCTTACTGCCCTGGACCTTGAATCCAGCAGTCCTGTCATTCCATTCACCGTCATACCCAGGGAGCTCTGAAGCTTTTCCATGTAGCTAAGAACTTTCATTGTGTGGACAGACAACAAAATCAAGCAGATAAACAAAGAAAAAGCCCTACAGAGAAGTGCCATTGTAACCTTGAACTGGGCTAAATAATTCCAAGATGGGGCTCAGGTCTACAGGCTTAGCTTAGACAAGCCAAACTGTAGAAGAATTTGCAACAGGCAGAAACAGAGAATGCCTTTTTCTTCACAGGTGCCTGGCTAACCTCCTGTTCAAGTTAATAGCAAGGCTTATTTTAAAGTATTGGTTCAAAGTGACTGTAGAAAGAATGTACTAGGGTACAGCTGTTCAAAGCACTTGCGCCTTTCAGTGTTCATTGAAAATAAAACCCCCAAGCCCTGAATTAAGCCCAGACCTGCTCTGGAGTAAATTCACCGACTAACTTGACCAAGTTGTGTTTCAGTATGTGGCTGTCTCCCCACAGATCTAACAGGACAAGTATCACAATTGCACCAAATAGTCATGCAGTATATGCTGTTTGCAAAATTATTTCATCTGTTTTGGTAATCCTATTTCCTGCCTTGCTTTTATATACTGTATATGCTCATTATATTTAGTGTAGCACTTGCCTAGACCAATTTAAATTAAAAATACTTTTTTAAAAATAAAGCTGCTATTGCAGTATAATTCACAAAAGCAGAAAGACCAAAGATCAAATCAATTCACACTTGAACTAGTATTAAAAACACATAAATATATCCACTTACATATTAATTGAAAGGCTTTACATGAAGTTACTAATTATAAACTCTGAGCTTCATTCTTATTAATCACCTATTGCATCCGTTTAGTGAGGAATGTAGTGTTTACCAGTATATAGTGACTGAACTCTGTGCCATAGACTGCGTTACCATTCCTGGCACAAAATATTTTCATATCCATCTTTTGATGATGCAAAAGAAGGCAGCGGTCTTTTAAGGGAAAGTGTGCTGAAGGCAGTATGTATGTATATGAATTGCTTCTTCCTTAAAATTAAATCTTCAGATTGTCCATAGATTGTCCATAGAAATTTCACATTAGAGGTTCGGAATTGAGCCTTCAATGCCTGATGAGTGGCATCATTTTGCATCTCCTATCAGATGTAATAGTGAGGACCTTCTGATCCATACAGCCTCCCCATGGCTGTGACAGCCAGGGAGGGGATGCAGCTGGCAGCCTTGCTGAGCTGCTCCTTAGCTCAGCATGACCTCCCCGGGGCCTTGGCAGCGAGGTGAAGCCGGACTGTGCTGTCACACAAGAGCCAGCCCTGTCCAGACCAGTCCCAAGGTAAAGAAGTAAAGATGATGCAGAAATTTGCTCCACTTTTCTAAACAAAAAAAAACTTTTTTAAAAAAAAGCAAAACAAAAACAACACCTAAAAAAAAAAAAAAAAAAAGGTTGGGGCTTTGCACCCATTTTTGTCCAAAGATTTATGACTTAAATTTGCACTAAAGCATACTTTGTACTATAATTCTGCCCAGTATTGTGAACCACAACTACTTCACTCTGGAAATAATAATATCCTCAGGCAATAAATAAGATGGGGCTGTTTCTTACTGAGCCTGAGGCTCTGAGAGCAGGCTTGAAGTCATCATTATTTACAGTTATTTGGAAATCAGCATGTTAATGGAGAGCTGGCTCCTTGTGCTGCTCCCAGCCCACACCATCAGAGAGCTCCTACCCCCAGCCTTCCCTCAAGGTGCCTGCACCAAGGGAATCACACTGGTCTCAGGTTCCTCGCAGCAATCTGGTGCACTCCCAGGCCAATATTTATATTTTTTGCCCTTTAAATTATGCAGATGCAATAGCCTAGGCTATTTATCTGTTCACTGAGGGATTCCAGATCTGCTCTATGCTGATTTCACTCCAGGTGAAATCAGCCCAGCTGTGAAAGGTGCTCAGTCCATGAGTTCTCTGTCTTTCCAGTGCCACACAGGCCCCCAGATGGACTATTTTAGGCCAGGGGTAGGTTTCCAAGGAGATAGTGTTCCCCAGCTGCATTCCTTGTTTGAAAAAGCACCAGCAGCAGAGGAAGGAGTAGGTGTTAAAGTACCTGAATTAAAGGAGTTTTATGAAGACAGAAAGATGCAGCCGAGACACGTTTTGCTGTGAAGGATGCTATGAAGTCAGCTTGCTCTGCACTGAGGGGAGAAAGAGGGAAGGGGAGGGGGAGAGATTCTGTTGTTGACATAATATATAAATTGTTACCCAGATGTTTTAAACCCAGTTCCAGTCAGATGCAATCTGACAGTAGATTTAAGCAGAGAAATATATAGATTCATACTAGATTACTAGATTATGGTGTTTGTTCTGCTCCACAGTTCCCAGGGTAGGAGCAAACCTTCTGTGTAAGACACAAAACAAGAGCCTGTGTGGTCGCACATCGCTGTTCTGTTGTGCAGTGTGTATTTGCAAAGCACTGCCATAGCAACTTCTGTGTACTGGGTAGCTATCTGAGTACAAGCTGCGCATCTACCTCTGCAACCAAGATGCTTCTTTAAGAGGTCCATAATATAGCTGGTCTGTGACCTGGCAGTTGGGTGCCTGTTTCCCAGCAGCAGCTGAAAAGCACTCACTCACAGATCCATTTGCTTCTGTATGCATAGCTTGTAAACAGCCACCAGCCCATCACGTTTGCTGTGATCAGGCAAACTTCATGCTGATGAGAATCAGACTTGCCACAGCACTCATCTTCCTGGTAGAGGGGCAAACATTCATGAATGTTTTGAATGCATCAACAAGTCAGATGTTGCCAAGGTAGTCCCATGTTGTGTGCATTAATGAGCGTTGCTGGCACTGGAATCTCCAATAACTTTGGGGAACCAATTCTGCAAGTTTTATCACTGACTTGAGTCTTAACAGTTTTCTCATTCATTAGTTTTGAAAGAGGAAGATAAAAAGCCCACATCATTGCCTAAACTATCGCATTTCTCTTGTTCCATCACAAGGTTCTTTTCCATTTTTTTGGATTTCATGCAAAAGGAAAAAATAATTATCTTCTATTTTCCTGTTGTGCAGTGAAGGAGTTGCCTTTGACCAACAAGGAGGATTGTATATTGTAACAAAACTGACTCTGCCGTTAGGATAACAGGAGAAGCCAAACAGGCCAGGGCATAGCTCCCCTCCCTGCCTTATCCCATGTAAACTGTCATTAGCGCCACTGGAGCAGTTGGTTATGAGCATTCTCCCAGCTGAGGGTCTGCCCACCTGTGTACTCATTCCATACAGGAGTACAGTGAAGCTGCAGACTCCTGTGCCACACAAGGACCTCATCCGTTTCTATGGGTAACAATTTGTGCTACTGATTATCACAATGCCTCAGAAGTGCTAATTATCTTTTCTTGGTAATGACTAATAAATCCAAATGGAGAACAGTCCTGGAGGGTGTTTACTTTAAAATTCACTGGCTGGGTACCAAAGCAGGCACAGCACTGGCTGCTGCAGTTTGAATTACACTTATTTTGTCGAGAGTCTAGGTACTTAATGAGTTTGGCTCGTTTGTATTTCCTTTTAATGACAGCAGAGTGGGAAACGATCCTTTTTAGTGAAAAGACATGACTGCCATTTTTTCAGCCAATCCAACAGAGATTTGATAGTTGCAGTTCAGCCTACATGAGGAAGACTTCCCAAAGCAACTGTGCGCAGCAGTAATTCCCTCTGACTCAATTGTATTACAGGCACGTTTGACAATTAGGCAATGGGCATGTGGAGCTGAGATGCCTTTCCCTCCTTACTTAGCTAAGGGGAGCTGCTTTGTGCCCAAAGGGACAGCTATGGCACCCGTCTGCATGCCCATCAGCGCTGCCCTGGCGCCTGCCACCTGCAGGGTGGCTGCTGCCACCAGCCCAGTGAGTCTTGTAGGCCAGCACCCCATCACTTGTGCTGCTTTAATGACCCTCAGACTGCTCCCTAAGCCTGGCTCCAAGGGACAGTTTCCTTACTGCTGCGTTGTTCAGTGCTGCGGCATATCAGTGCATGATCAGATAGAAGGTTGTTTTTCCCAGAAATAGAAAGCTGAATCATCCATCAATCAGTGATGTTGGTGGGAGGGGAGGTAACCACTGACCCAGCAGTTGCCAAGATGGTTCCTCCAACTTTACTTCTAATGAACTGGCTTGTGCCTTCAGCTCCAGGAAACCAAGGCAGGTTCCCAAGTGAACTGGATACTAAAAGATCCAGCTCGTTTTCCCACAGAAACACATACCAGTCAGTGGCTTAAACTACTGATGGAGATGCAACGCTGTCCCATTGCATAGCAGCCCATGATGATACAAGAACTTCCCTGAGCCAGTGCAGAGAGGTGCTTAGCTTTTGCACATCCATGCATGTCCTACATGCCACTCTGATACTGTTGTCAAGGGTGTCAGAATCAGTTTTCCGTGTAACTTAACTTTTTTTGTCATTGTAAAGTATTTCCACCAAGTTTAATAAAATTGACCCTGTGGAAAACAGAAGTGCTCCTTATATTTCCTTCTAATTTCTGGACTTTTAATATATTCTAATATATTTTAATATATTTTATAAATACATTTTAATATATTCATGCCATGGATGCTTCAAGCATTATGATATGTCCAGTTGTTGTATTAACTGGAACCCAGTGTGCCTAGCAGTTGCAAAGGGTATTTTGGCCTACATCCTGTAGTTCATGGGAAAAACAAGAGTGATCATGCAAGCAGCATGCCTTCAGGGAGGAACAGAGCCAGGAAAATGGAGCGATGTAGCTTTTTTGGATTTGTAGAGATTTAAGCAAGCATCATGATTTTTTTGTGTTTCATCCAGTAAAAAGAAACAAAGGTAGTGTGAGAAACTCTAACATCCAGGTAATATGCAAATACTATGCTGTCAAGTTTACTTTGCCACCTTACTTCAGCCACAATGTCATTAATCATCGTTTTGCTATGAACAGTTACTCCTGTGGTTATTTGGAAATAAAATGTCCCCACTCAAGAACTTCCAGAGCATTCTGTGCATTTACACATTAATCTTTTGGACAGATTTCAAGAGGGCCTGCTTAAAAAGTCCATCCTGTAGTTTCATACTCAAATGAGATTAAGGATGAGGTTTTTGAAGAACATTTCTTCATATCTGTGGCTGCTTTGGTTTATGAGTGTATTCAGCATAGCTCAAGTAGAATGGGGTTCCTCTGTAGCAATAATAAATTTAAGTCCTTCAGCTGCTTGTACGGACTTCAAAATTGAAAACTGGAGTGAATAAAATACTGGCTTTGACCTTTTCCCCATCTTTCTCTTGATAGTAGGGGAGGGAGGGAG